GTAATATGTCAAAATCTTGTCTGGTAATGCTGTAACTTCCATGGTGTTCCATGTCTACATTGGCCATTCCTGGTTTTGTTTTTTTCTTAACTAGAAGATCTAATTGGCTTTATTAAGCAATTCATCAATTGGGCAGCATCCCATTTAGCCAATAGAGAGATGCTCCCTACATTGACCCTTCATTTAACATTTCATTTGCTTTATCTCCAGTGAAGATACGTATTTCCCACCATGCTTTGAAAATGAGCTAACCATAGCAGTAAATGGTTTTTAAACACTACATTGCTTTACAGATTCTACAACATAATCAAAATGATAAAACATTCAGATGATGTGCAGTGTCCACTCAATTATTATTTTAAAATTCTGTTGTGTCTGTTCCTTCACTGTCTCTGTGAGTGTGTGGCTCAAAGAAGATGTGTAGTTTGGGGAGCAGAACCAGACAAGAGTGTGTGAAGCAGTGGTCAGGTATTAGACTTCACTAATCTTTCTTGTCTAAAAATACATTGCATTTTCTGCATTGCTGCAGAGGATTCATTTCTCAGGATTTTCTAAGGTTTGTACCTCGAGGAAAATATGTGTGAAAAAGGTTCTGAGGCAGCCATAGGTTATTATGAAAAGGGAACAAATTATAGCTAAGAGGGTTGGAAACTTTGCTCTTTATTTCTTATCTTCTCTAGGAAGTCTACAATGGGAAAATATCAAGAACATGAACCATCAATATGTGCCCTATACTTTATGTAATTAGGCAAAAAAATCTATGTAATTAAAGGAGAATTTATATAACTAGACAAAGGAGAATATACAGTTGCAGATATTACATATGATAACTGTTGGTTAGACATATTGCATAGAGAACTTTCTGGAAGACAGCTCAACACTTTCTGAATCTAGCTTTTCACCATACCCTTTTCCCTCACTTCTCACAGTTTTCCAGTAGTTCATCTGTCAAGTATTTAAAGAGAGCTTTTGTTACATGCAGGCTCTGCCTTCAAAGGATGCACCACATGGTATTTCATGCTATTTTGGTTCATAATCTGCTTCCAAAATGACTTTTCTACTCCTGAGCCTCTGTCCTCTGTATGTTATCCACCTCTTCTATTTATTATTATCATCCTGCATCATTCCACATTTGAGTAGATATTATTTCAAGCTTATGCACAATTATCCATCCATCCCAGGGCCTCTGGGGTAACATAAGAACCAGAACAAGCATCAGTGTGAAAGCCAAGTACTGGAAACATTTGGGAGGGGAGTTATTTTCTGCCTTAAAACAATAAATATTTTTATTGGGCAGATGTTTTCTTGCTTCTCAATTATTGTGTACACAGGAATGGAATCGACCAAAATATGCACTTCCAAACCTTTAACAAGGAGTTCATGAACTATTCTTGTAAGGGGGAGGATCACAGTAATAGTGGGAGCAGTGATATTAATGACAATAATGAGTGAGCCCCCATTATGAGTAAACACTTGTTCTGGGTGCTTTGACTGTATCACCTGTAACCTTTAACCATAATGGCAGGTCCACAAGGAAGCTCTCATTATTTCTGCCCCTGTCTTGTAGTTGAGGGGACTCAAACACAAAGGTTGGATAATCGCCAAGCTCTCATTTTTGGTAATGGTTGCTGTGGCATTAGAGTGTGATCCTAGGTCTTTGTGATTTTAAAGGTTACTTCTCCTTTAATCTATGAGTTAATATATGTATGTTTTTTAGAACAATACTTACGTAATAAGCCTTTATATAGAAGCTCTCTGTACATGTTGTTATTCCCTTTGGTCACTTATTTGGAGATGTTAATTTTTCTTCTCTCTAGCAGGTGGTAGTGGCTTGAGGAGATCAAAGGCTTTACTAGAGAAAATTTTTTGTGAGCTTAGGTCCATATCAAGTAACTGAGATTGAATAAAATGGTATATATATTTTTAAAAAGGCAGATCTATTATCCTCTCTTCATTGATCCCTTCTCTCTTCTACACATGCATGCTGTTTCTTAGCTAAATATTTTAGTCCTCTAGAAAAGGCGGTTCCCTGGGAAAATAACAAATTTTATCCTGATAAACTCACTTATCATTGCTTAATATAGATTTCCATTTTAATTCAGTAATCTTAAAACTACAGGGAAATAAAATGCATTAAAGTCATAGTTGACTTCAGATTGTCGTTCCTTTAAAATCTTTAACAACATAAAATCATTTATACCTGTTTAAAATGAGTTTTTACTTTTAACTTGAATCAAATCATCTTCTATTTATCTTAGAATAATGTCAGAATTTAGCATGAGGTTTCCACTTGAAGAGTCACATTAATGTGGGTCTCTCTCCTCTCAATTTCTCCTCCCCTTCCCTTCTCTAGTCTCTCATGAACATCTCCAGAGATCCTTCCTGGGGTGTCTGCTGGGGGCCACAACTTGATTAGCTCCATGTAAGAGCTCTATATTGCTACATGTTGCTCAGCTTTGAAGCAGTATTGCTGACTGAATGGCCAGTATCTGGATTAAGTGCCATTATACTGACACTTTATACAGAAACCTGTACTTGAATATTAGGTTGATTAGATAGGGTTCCTCCTCATGCTGATGGGTGCAGCTGGGCTCACCTCCGAGGGCCCTTGGTATAGAGAGTAGCCCTACCTGAGTGGCCTACTGTTATTGTGGCTCATATACCAATTTCGCTTGCAGAATTTGGGTTCAACCATGTTACTTACTAGGTTCATATGCAGAATAAATCTCCCCTTTCCTTGAATAAGTAGATTCATTCCAACATCAGCTACTGCACCCGTGATACCATACATAAATTTGTCCATCTTTAGATGTGGTGACCTTCTCAATATTTCATTAGATTTGCTACCACTGTGGATGTTCTTTCCAGCTGCACTATGCAGAGTGAGAATGAGATAGTCTTCTCCCACAACACAGATATCTGCCAATGAGTCTTTTTTTTTTTTTTTTTTTGAGGGGGGTGGTTCAGGGAGTGAGGAGATTTATGCAATCCTGTAGCAAGGGTGGGACACCTGAATTAAATATGTATCTCCTAATTGCCAGCCTCCACCTTAAAGTATATTTAGTCCTGAGGGGTCAGATCTTAAAAATTCACCTTTGTGCCAATATGGTAATGAATTTTTACATGTCTCCCGTGCTGTTAATCAAGCTATTTGTTGGTGTATTGGCATTGAGACTAGGCTGGTTGGTTATATAGTATGCTTATTGTAGACAGTAGTCTCTTTTAAAAATCTAACAATGCAATATATTTCCTGACACGACTTCGTTTCCCAAGCATGAAAAGTATCCCTCTGAGGGTTTGAATAACTGTAACATTGAGTGAATTACATTCTATTCTGATCTGCTTGTGAAATGGAAAGGGGTGGTTTGTTTTGTTTTCTCTTGTGTCTGAGGATACATTACAGGACACAGAGTCTTTCAGTGATATAATTGATTAGGTTTGGATTAATAGATCAGAAGTAATCATTTGTATAATAAATATTGGATGACTTTTTTTTTTTTTTACCCTAAATTAAATAATTGGTCATATTAACTCTCTTTTTCAAGTGTATTGAAGAAGCTTGTATTGCCCCTGTGTATGCTCTGCTATGTGAAGCCTCATGATTCTGCTTCCCAGGCCTCTTTACCCCAGGTGATATCCAGTCCACTGACAGGGAACCTATCTCATCCTCGTCAGTGACCCCTCTGTTTGCTACTCCTGCATCCCTTTGTACAAATATTCAGTATTCACCAAACACTTGCCTTCCTCCTGGTCTCCACATCTGATCAGTCCCCATATCTGGTCGTGCTTGAACACAGATCTCATTAATATCCTCTCTGTATCCCTTCCTCTCTGTATCCCATTTCTATTTCCCACCTCATTACTGCTGCTTTCCAACAGTCATGCACTTGCCCTAATAACTAGTGTCTCTGCCCTAAACTTGTCCCCTGCACTTTATTTCATGTGATGTAGCCAAAATAAAAATCTATTAATGTCACTTGCATCCCTGCTGAGGACACAGTTCAGATCTCGTTCATGGCTTTCTAAGCACTGCCACCTCTATTCTCTGTACCCCTTCCTCCCCGTGCCTCCCACATGACTGTGGTTCCTCACACTCAGCATCCTGCTCCAGGTTTCAGAGCCTCACACAGCATTTATGCTGCTGAGGGTGCTGTTCCCACCACTGTCTTTCTGGTGAGCACCTTTTAGTTCTTCAGAGCCCATCAATGTTGACAGCTTCTCCCTGCCTCACGCTAAATACATCAATCACTTCCCCTTCTTTGCCTATGGTCTTGATCATAAGCCTGTGGTGGTATGTAATCACAGATATTATGAGTATGTATTTACATCATGTTTCCTTATTAGATGGGAAACTCCTAGAGATCAGGGTGTCCTCAGTCACCTCTGTAATTCCAGAGCTTAATAATATCTGACATAGTACAGGCTTAATCAGCATTTGTTGGATTGGTTCAATTCTCTTATAAATGCTCTCTAAATTAGAGAATAGCTTCTTAGCAGGGTATTAAAAGACTATATTTGGGTATTTCTGTAGTCTGTTATTCTCTGATTAGCACAATTAAGAGTACAGTGTTAATGAGGCCAAGGTTTTAGTTTCATTCCTCTGTGGAGCAGTTAACTTTGCACCTCAACTGTCAGTGAGCTCAACTAGCTGCCTAGTAAATACCATTGGCTCCAAGGGAAATGTAATGTGAGACTGATTAAGGTCAGGGCAAATTCATCTCAACTATTAGACACATTGAATTGAATATATTCCTTATTGATGTTTAAAGCATAATTTCACACTTCTGTGTGAAATGAACACCTTATTTTGTCCACAGCCTCTGTCCAATGTGCACTGATGCATTGAACTTCAAGGTGGGTTGTGATGGAGAGTGGCAGGAATACCTCCTATTCATGGTGGTTTTGCGATAAGAACAATAATCATCCATCCATGGATCTTTATGATTGCCAGCCTTTGAGCTTGCAGTCTACCCACACAGCTCTCCATCTTTGTCTTCCAGGTGAGACAATGCGCATCGCCTCTTCGGAGTTTGCTGATGACCCGTGCTCATCAGTGAAGCGTGGCACCATGGTGAGGGCGGCGAGGGCTTTGCTCTCAGCTGTGACGCGCTTACTCATCCTGGCGGACATGGCGGATGTCATGAGACTTTTATCTCACCTGAAAATTGTACGTATGTGGAACTTAGTGAAACTTGCTTTAGGGGCGTGGTAATACTGACTATGTATATTAGAGCTCAGAACTGTACCAAAGATGTTTCACTACTCACCAGATCACTTACCCAAGTGGTATACCTACAAATTTTTCTATTTTTTAATGTATTTATTTTGAGAGAGAGAGAGAGAGAGCACACTTGAATGTGAGGTAGGGGCAGAGAGAGAGGGAGAGAGACTTCTAGGCAGACTCCATGCTGACACAGTGCAGAGTCTGACATAGGGCTCAAACTTGTGAACCGTGAGATCATGACCTCAGCCGAAATCAAGAGTTGGACATTTAATGACTTAGCCACCCAATTATCCCTACCCCCAAATCTTTCTAATACTAAAATTACATTTAATAATATACAAGAAAAGTTATGGAAGGTTCACTTGAGTTTGGACTCTCCTCTTACTTCCTGGAATTCAAAACAGTATATTCTTTTAGGCCCCAGAGGCTGAGCACGGTGTACCTGCCTTGGCCCTATCTTGCGATTCAGAATAGTGCAGTCTGTGTGGTAATTCAGAGTAGGTCAGTTCTTCTGGTTAGCTGGCCAAATGACCACCGATGCCCACCCTAATATGGATTGTGTGTTGAATTCTGTTTTGTTACCTGCTCCATCCTTGCACTTCCATAGTCTGGCAATAAAGAGCCTCACATACACATCTCATGGTTAAAGTCAATCTTGTTGCACCAAGTCTGGCATCTAACGTACCTGGATTGGGTGGGCATTTCCATGCCGCACTAACCCATAGACTCTCATTATAAGTGCCTTGCTTGTCACATTTCCTTCATTCTCTTCAACTCTTTTGTTTCCTAATGGAAGTGGAGCCCTGCCCTAGTCACAAATTTTACTAGACCAGGGTTAAGGCAAGCCTTTCCAGTCCTTGACAGCTAGGCCTTTCTCTAGGCTGACTTGTATCTGTCTGCAACCAGGGTAGTTCAGTCCTCTGAACTCAGATAACATAATTCAACTGCTTAGGAGTTTGGCTTCTGTCTAGAGAGTTTTTATTCCACGCCTCAGTTAATTTCACTTCTGGACAATTAGCACCAACCTTGGACTGACATCAGGGTCCTTAGACGATAAGATGTGAACCATGGGCTTTTCATTTTTTGGGAGTCAACCTATTGCTGGTTTAGTTCCCCTACCTATGGCCATTCCTGGCTTATCATTTTCCCTATTATCCAGCCCTTGAGGTTTTTATTTTCTCTGTCAGTGAAATGAAAAGTAGGGGCAGGTGAGATAAGGAAATGAATCATGAGAGCCCACTCTCACCTTACTTTCTATCTCAGATTTGTTCTGTAGAGGGATTCATCAAGAAATTTCTAAAACAAGTGGTTGTCTGTCAAAAAGTCTTGAGTCACATCTTACCTGAGCTGGCCCCAATAAAAGAGCCAAGACTCCAAGTTATGTATCAACTCTATGATATTATAAAAGGTCTCAAATTCCAACATCTCCAGTATGAGTTCCATGATCATTAACCACAAAGCAAAGATACAGCTGTTCTCAGTTTCTATAAGGGTGCACAGGTCTGAAGACCCAAGGGCACAAAGCTGAGCCTGCTTGGGAGTTTCCTCTCAGATTTTTCTGAGAATGGGCCTGTAAAAGCCAAGAAAGGCTCTTGCAGATTAGATGAGGTGAGCAGTATGAGGAGAGACTTTACCTAGTTCAGAGGATATCAACGGCCAGTACAACATTATGATTCACCATTTGGCTACTGGAATAAGATTAACTTTAATTTTGGTTTGCTGTCCACTTGCCTACTGTGTTGTAATCTACCGTATAACCTCCTTATGTATCAGACGCTGCATCTGTTAATATGGGGCTAGTGGTAGTATAGCCCACAGAGTTGTAGGGAGTTTAAAAAGGGTCAAATTCCTAGGAAGCATTTATCACAAAGTTTGGTGCAAAGTAAGCTTCGCGCTTTATGCACATTTTAGGCAACAAGTAACTTTGTTCTCAAGTGTGTGGGAGAAAAGTTTCATCTTTCTCTTGCAGCCTGCTGAATCTTCAAATGCAACATTTTAAGAAAGATCTTCCCCTAGACAGACAACCTCCCTTTCCCAGGGAGAGAATAGGACCCAACCTCAAGAAATTAACTTGACATCCCATATGTTCTTTTTCTGCACCTCGGAAGGCCCTGTTCAGCCATTCCTGTGATGACAGGCTGAATCTTCTCCCCAAGCTGCCCACATGCAGAGGGTGTCCGTCCTCCAAGATGAGGTGGGATATACAGCACTGGTTCCTGCCTGTAATCCTGCCTCTCCACCCACTTGTTTTGACCAGTGCTGTCTACTGATAATATCACCGCAGTCTGTTGTCTTGTGGAGTCAATTGTATTCTCTTCCCAACACAGCAGATGAAGGGAAGTCGGGGGGAAAAAAAAACGGGTTTAGCACAAAACCACGGAAAGGTCAACCCAGCAATATTAAGTAGTCCTGTCAGACTGTCAGTAGTAAAATTAAAAGTGATTGCAGACTAAATAACACATTTGTTCTCCAGAGAGCACCGCCTCTGTAGAGGGTAGCCGTGGTGGAACATTGCTCTCTTGTGGAGCAAGGAAGGAAGTGCAGGGCGAGGGCTTCCCAGATGCAGGCGGTGGCGGGTCTCACGCTCCGGGTTCAAGTCAGTCAGGCTTTCAAATCAGGCGGCTGTTGCCTCCCTGCAAAAACCCACAATGTGTCAACAATCCGTCCCACATGAACCTGTTGTATACTGCTACTTTAGCTTTTTGTTCTTTTTCGTAGAAGCACATTCTCTCATTCACAAACAAGTGTTGTCTGCAAGCATCTATGTATGTATTTGTTTTTAACTCAGATGAAGAAAACGTCTTTATATGTTTGAATGGAGCAGGTTAGAAATGGTCATCTACACCTTTCTCAAAGCCTTTTCCATATAAAAAATGAGTTTCCTTACCGCACGGGTGATAATACCGAGGTAACAAAAAGGAGTGACAAGTGCTTTGCCGTAAAGTAGTTACTCCAGGGGCGCCTGGGTGGCTCAGTCCAACTGAGCATCTGACTCTTGATTTCGGCTCAGGTCGTGACCTCTCAGCTTTGGGTTCAATCTCTCTGCCCCTCCTCCACTTGTGCTTTCTCTCTTTCTCAAAGTAAGTAAATAAAAACTTAAAAAATAAAGTAATTTTAAAAAAGTAGTGACTCCATTTTCTTTTGGTTGAGATGATAGAGTAATACCCTATGGTGGGTCTGTAGGTTCCTGCCATGGTAACCTTTTTACCTTTAAGCATTATGCATAATATCTTCCTTTTTATCTCTTAGGCCATATGCCAAATTTTTATTGCTGTTCTTTCCAGGCAATGATTTTTTCTCATTTCTGAATGACTTACAGGAACATAGAGGGAGTTGCTTGATCAGAACCTTATATTCATGTTTCTCCATCAATAATTCACTAAGTAGATGAAGTATAGTCAGTTTATTCTCCTAAAATACCCATTTTCATTCTCTGCCCTGCACCCCAATAAGTAATTATCAGAAAATTGAGTACTAATGAGCAAATATAATTCACTCTGTAAAAATGAATCAAGAATTAGGATATCTGTGGAGTTTGTGTGATTTGGCAGGGTGTGCGATTTTGCATTCTGCTACCTGAAAATTATGTTTGGAAACGTATGTTTACATGACTGCTAAAGAGCCTATCTTTTCCTATAACACAGATATCCCTGTTGCCCATATTAAACTACTTGTATTATTATGCAAGTATTTGTATGGGCTTTAAGGTTGAGCTTTTTTTAAACATATATTCAGAATTCTCATGATTACAAAAGGTTTTTGCTGCTGTGTTTGCTTTAAAATCAGGATGATAGTGATGGAATAGTAGGTGACATACAATTCAAAGCTGGGTTATCACCCAGGTGCGAATCTGATGTTCCTCAGAAAAGCTAAAGCAATCATTTGCACATCAGACATCATTAAAAAATACTGAATTATAATCACCTTCATTGTTGAAGTTGCTGGTGAGTGATTCCCTAGCCAGACGTCTGATGTATCCTGCAATCAGCTGACATTGTCAGTGTGTTAGGTTCATATGTGGCACTTCAGACTTCTCAAGGAATCCTGCATTGCAATTGGTGATCATGAAGAGGGATATTTATTTTCCCTAGACTCTGAATTAATGTAATCAGATCGTATTGTCAGTGCTTAGCGTTGGCGATGGCATCACACACATAAACTCATCTTGACATGTATGTATCAGAGAAAACAACCCCCTTTTTTCTATCCTCAGGCTAAGTCCTGGAATAATGATGTTCTTGATTATCTCAGAATCCCTCTCTAGAAAGTGGAATGGCAAAACAGAAAAACAACAACCCCTTAGTCAATTTCTCAGGAAAGTCAGATTGCCTTCGTAGCAACCAGGGGCTAGCTCTAATGCTGCTGCCTCCTGTTTGCAGGACATTGATGAGACAGGGTGACTTTAATATTACCTCTGCTTTTTGGGACATAAGCATCAAATAGTGTTGTGTGTCCTCAGTAACGGATTATTTCTCAGTAGTTGGCTGTGTAGTCCTACAGCTCTAATGTGGCTCTTGTGTTTGAAGAACAGCAGTCAACTGACATAAAATAGCCTTGTTTCTGATTATAAAGAGGGAAATTACTGCCCAGGTTCTTAGCATATCTTTTCTGTCACAGCTATTGCGGCATTAACTTCACACAGCTGGGTTGTTTGGAATTTATTTATGTATTCAGTTATCATTTCAAAAAGGACTTACTGGATGCCTAGTGTATACAAGACACTGTGCTCAGATAACTTCAAAAGTGAATAAGTCTCAGCCCCTGCCTTCAAAACTTTATAGGCTACTAGGGAAGACATTAAGAAAAAAAACTTTGCATATGAGGAAAATGTGCACACGGCTGTGATCTCACCTACAATGAAGTTATACTAATTAGGATGTTTTCCACTTTAAGTAACACAAACACAACTCAACTTGGTATTTTATTTTATTTTATTATTTTTT